TCCGTGGGGTGGGGACAAGGTCCCCCAGGCCTGTTGCTGAGCTTGCAAAGGTGTCCAGAGTTCTCTGGGGTCTGTGGTGGGCCACCCGTGTCCCATGAGGACCAGGAGAGGTGCGGGTGTGGAGCCCGTGGATCTGCTCCCCGGGCTGCTGCAGTGTTGGGCTGGGCCCCCCATATGTGGCTGCCAGGACCTGGGAGACCTCAGTCCTCCTCCTGCCCCTCCAGCTGCTCTGGTCCTGGCTGTGGTTCCTGCCCAAGCTAGAGCCCTGGACCGCTGTGCGCTGTCACCGCACTTTTCCTGTCAGAGCTGGATGCCTTTGGTGTTCAAGCGCAGCAGATTGGCAGAGAGTAGCAAGTGGAGCTGCCAGCCTGGCCCTGGAATTCTGGGGTCATTGTCCCTGCTCAGCCCTGTGCCTGCCTTGTAGATTTGCATCACTTAACCATCCTGAGGCATCCTGCAGTCCTGGCACCCTGGGGGTGGTGGGAGGAGGATGCTTCTAACTGGAGGGCTGCACCCCAACGCTTCAGCCTCAGGCAGCTGCGTGGGGCTGCACCGAGGGCGGGTGGGGGGCTGGCAGCAGCAGGACGCACCGCAGCTGTTTGGGTGTCTGTAGCAGTGTCCTGAGGGCAGCTCTGGGGAGTAACTTTCTAGCCTGGATGTGAGCGGTTTGTTCTCCCCGCAGGATCCAGGGGGAGCCACGGAGTAGCGGTTCCTTTCTGACCCTGCCCACCTGGTGTCGGAGCAGGAGGAAGCCAGTGTTTGCTTTCCAGCAAGGTCACGGGTCATCTGACCAGGTCCTCTCGCAGCTGGGCAGCACACTTTGCTGGCTGGTTTTGCAGCCCGGCGCTGGCTCTGTGGGCGGGACGCCCTTCCCTCCCAGGCTGAGCTGAGCGGGAGGACGCACCCCGCCCCCCCCGCCCCCCGAAGCCCCCCCCCCCCTCTGACTGCTCCTCTGCCCTCCAGATGCGGCAGCTGCAATGCAGGCAGGCAGGAGGGACCCTCGAGGAAAGTGAGCCCAGTTGGCGAGCCGGTGTTGGGCGCAGTGAGCGTCTCTGCGTGGTCAGCGGGACGTGAGCCGCAGAGCGGGCGGGATCTGGCCAGGAGGCAGAGCCTCAGCCAGCCGGGAGCAGCCGCTGGCGGGCACCTCCTGCATCCTGGCGCAGGACTCGGCTCCCTGGGATTCTGGGCGCGGGCAGCTCTGCTCACCTCACCTGGCAGGCTCTGTCCAGGTACGGCTCGGGGTCTCCTCTGCCCTCTGGGAAGTGTTCCCCCTTGCAGGCCACCGGCTGATCAGGGCCGGCGGGGGCCAGTGGTGATCTACCCTATGGAACCTTTGACTTTGTGAGGTGGAATTCTCCAGGAATTCTCTCGGTGCCGAGGCTGTGCTTGGAGCCAAGCTCTCTTCCAGGAAATCCAAGGTGCTGTTTATTTTGGCATGCAGCCTGTTCTGGGGTGAAGTAGAGCATTTTTATTATTGCAGAATAAAGAGGGATTTGAAGAGAACAGAAATGCAGAACCAGGTTTCAGTTTCAGGACGAAGGAAGGGAAAGTCTCTCTATTTGGATTGAGGTTGGAAATGTGGTGGAAAGTGGTGAAATAGCAGGAGTAAGTGGAGCCCGGTGCTGGAGACACAGGGCTGACCTGGGACCCACGGCCTGGGCACGGGGTGGCCCTTCTGACCTTGCCTGCTGAGACAGGGCAGCTGCACAGGGCACTGCTGCTGCCCGGCAGGGACCGCCTTGGTGGGTCTGAGCAGGCAGCCTCGGCTCCTTGGTGCCCCATGGGACCTGAATGGCCTGGTGAGCCCTGGAGGGCCACAGCCCTCCTGCCCAGCTGGCCAGGAACAGCTCAGGCTCAGAGCCCCTCTGTGCCTCAGTTTCCTCCTTTGGACCTCGAATCTGTTTCCAGAGACTATTTCATGAGGATGAAATGAGGGAGGACACCTGAGCTGGGCTTGAAGTCGGGCTCAGCACCTGTCAGTACTGCCCCCTGAGACCCACCTGAAGATGGATTGTTTAATTCCACGCCTGAGTGTCTGCTACATTTTTAACGCAGGGAATTGGACAGGAATGAATCTTGCAAGAAATCTGACCTTCACAAGCTTCCAGATTCTCATGGGAGGAGGGCTGGGGAGAGGGAGCTGCACATACTAAAACCCCTGGAGCATCGAGAGAGGGTGAGGAGGTCAGGCCTGATGGGGTCCTAATGATGATGGGACACAGGAAGGGAAGTCACGTGGCTGCAGGTACGCAGTGCTGGATGTTGGAGCCCGGAGGTGGAGCTGGATAGCTTGCCTGTCAGAGCTGTGAGCATCCCAGAGAGGAGGGCTGCAGACTCTGCTTTCCAGGGCATCCCGTGCAGCAGCACTCCACGTGGGCTATCGTGTTGCGAACAAGCCGTGTGTCCGTGGGCAGTTACTCCTCTTTTCCCTTCCCGTGCTCGCCCTCTCTGTGGAGCCCTCAGTGGACTCCAAGCTGTCCATGGGAGGGCTGGGGCCGAGGAGCTTGGCGGTGACAGCCCCCTCCTGCCCTTTCCACCTCGGAGTGCTGGGCCGTCAGCGCCACTGCCCCGCAGCCTGACTCGGTTAACGTCCCTGAAGCCCAAGTCAGAGTCCTGTGGCTCAGCCTGGCCTGCTGTCTATCTGAGCACAGGCCCAGACAGGATAGGCTGAATTCCGAGTCCCAGTGCAGGGAGTGAGTGTGATCCAGCTGGGTGCCGTGAGGGTCTGAGCAGCCAGAGGTGCAGTGGCAGGGGGTCTTCCTGGGGAGGGACCTGGGGTCGCACCCTGGAGGCGCACAGCCGGGTTCACACACCCAGGAAGAGCAGAGGGAGAAGCACGGGTCAGAAAACTGTCCCTCTGGAGGAGACCCAGGCCGGGGTGGTGATGCGCCTTTAACCCAGCCCCGGGAAGCTGAGGCGAGGGGATTGCCATGAGCTAGGGCCGGCCTGGGCTGCAGGGCGAGACCTGTCTCTAAAAGGAAAAGACAGAAAAGGGAGAGCCAAGGTCAGTCCCGGCAGCAGGGAGCGGGGCTGCTACCGGTGGTCAGGTGTCTACAGGTGACCGCACGGGCCCGGAGCCAACGACCCCACGCATCCTGCTCCCGCAGCTGCTGCCACGACCCTGAGCAGCCCGGTCCGCTCAGCCTCAGCCTCCCGTGGTGACCCTCTCCGGGCGATGAGGAATTCGGGCGTGCTGAGGGCTCTGGGCCCCGGGCTGTGATGCCGTGGGTGTGCGGAGGGGCGCAGAAGGATGAGGGGAGGCCCAGACGCTCGTCCACACGGGCCCCACACCTGTGCCTGTGTGGTGCCACTGAGTTGCAGGCGTGCACTCCGCCCTGCTGAGCCCTGCTCCTCTTCACCCTCTGCCCCCAGCCGGAGTGCCCGCCCGGCCCGTAGCCGGGAGGGGCCAGTGTTGGCACTGGTCCCGCCCATGGCTGGGGTGTGGCGGCAGAAGTGGCGCTGCAGAGAAAGGCCTCGTGGACTTCCTGTCAGGCCCTTGCTGCCAGAACTCCGTCCCTGCTCTGCACCTCCCGGCCCTTCCTGGCTCCCCTCTGTCTCGGCTGTGGGCCGCTCCTCATCTCTCTCCCTCTTCAGGGCCTCTCACTCCCGAGCCACTGTCCTCACCTGGAGTTGATTCCTGTGCCTCCCGCTGAGGCATGTGGCCACTGGGCGGGCACAAGCCCTGTGGAAGACCCTGGCCAAGAGGCTGGATCGCTGCAAGGCAAGACAGTGAAAGGCAAAGGGAAGACACAGAAACGAGGCTTAAACAGGACGCAGGGAACCGGGCCAGGCCACAGGGCACATGTGGCGAGGACCCCAAGTGACCGGGACCATCGGTACTTGTCGATTACACAGGCATGGGTGAGCCTAGAGCAGGGGATGTGCATGGCATCAAGTGATAACAGCTGACACCGGCAGGCTGGTAAAAGAGGGTAAGGCATTCTGTGAAGAGAGGAGAACAGACCAAAGGCAGGTCGTGGTTAGCTGGTGAGCCACTGAGACAGCGGAGGGAGGGCCGGTCTGGGAATGCAGAGTGGTCGGGCGCCAAGGGTCCTCGGCAGCAGTTACCTCACTGGGAGCCCTGCAGCTTCACAGAGCAGGGCTTAGGTCTCCGAGGCAGCTGCTGGCAGGAAGCTGTGCTAGCCTGTGCGCCATCCGACACACTCCTGAGTCACGTAGGGTTTGGTCTGGCTCTGAGTACATCGTAGCCAATGATGAGGGGAAACACCTGCTCCATATTACAGCCTGCTCTAAGCCTGGCCGGGGGCTCCACCACAGTCCCCTGCTGTGGCCAGAGCCAGGCCGTCCATCATGGGAAGAGAAACCCCGGCGTGGACGAGAACTCGGGAGAATTTGGGTCTGACTCAGCAGGACTTCGGGGCAGGACGCCGTTGGTACCTCAGCCACCTGGGCAACCCCGCTCCGCTCTGCCACAGCCGAAAGGTCACCAGCTCCCTGCCTGTGCTCCGAGTCCAGCGTTACAGGTCACTCGAGGCTGCTCTATCCCAGCCTCCTCAGGGCTGGATTATAACCCTTCACCAGGCGGCAGGGTGGCCAACTCCTGACGTCAGGGAAGAGCGCCGTGCGGTTGGCAGATCTGGCACCGTCACGGATGCACTGCGACCTGGACAAGCTGCTTCTCGGCCTCGGCTCCTCCTCGGCTGCTGCTCCCTTCAGTGCCAGCTGTTGCCAGTGTCCTGGGGAGACAGCCAATGCCAGGATCCAGGATCATGCCAGCTTTTTCCCGTTCCTTGGGGGGCTGGGAGCAGGGATGGGCTGAGTTTCCGGGGTGCTGTGTTTCCTCAGCCTGAACTGCTTTAACTCTAAGGGGCCAGGCATGGTGGTGCACACCTGTGATTCAGCATGCAAGAGGCTGAGGCAGGAGGATCACTGGGAGTGAGGGACAGCCTGAATGACATAGTGAGACCTTGTCTCAGAAAGCAAACAGAAAAACAAACAACAAAACTCTAAGGGGACTCTGCTTCTTTCTTCTCTTTCAGATTCTCTGGGAATCCTGCAGATGCAGCAGCTGAAGAGTGTCTGAGAGACGGAAGGTCACGTCCCCAGATGGAGAAGACAGAGGGTAGGCGGCCTTTCTGGGGCAGTGTGGAGGCAGCCAGGACCAGGTCCCGGGCCAGTGTCCTGGGGCGAATCCAGAGGGATGGGGAGTGGAAATGGGGCCCTCGAGCTGCAGGGCCCTGCACTGGGCTCAGGGACAGGTGCGGGTGGTGACGGGGCCTCTGCTTACACCGGTGTAACCCTGAGTCGCCTGACAGGGCTGAGCTCAGTCTCGCGGTGGAGGTGGCTCAGCTGCGCTGCAGGCCAAGACCCGGACGTCTGGGGATCGGGGTCAGGGCTGCCCCGAGGCTCTGGTCCCGCCTGGGTCTTGGCATCACTGGTCCTCTGGGTGGGGCTGCAAGGTGAGAGGGGCCTCGCCCGCCCGTGTGCCTGGGCCAGGAGTGGCGGCTCGGCCCTGTGTCCCCGCCTCACTGGGTCCTGGGCACACTCCCCCGCGGTGGCGGAAGGGAACTCAGGGCCGGAGCAGACAGCAGCCCATGGGTGGGTGGGGTGCTGGGGCCCCATGGCCACTGTGCAGCCTGTGCCCAGCGCCCTCCGTCAGTGGCATCAGCGCCCGCCTGGCGTGAGTGAGGGTCCCAGGGGTCCACCAGGAAGTTGTTGAGTACTAATTACCCCCCAGGGCCCGCATCCCTCCAGGGACCCTGGCTCAAGGTCAGACGCTGACCCGGGCTCCTGACTCCTGAGGAATGTCCGGAGCCCAAGCCCGCAGTCCCCGGCGTCCCAGGGCCCTGCGCCGCACAGGCCGTGGCCGCCAGCAGTCGGCACAGCCCAGAGAGCTGCTGGCAGTGGTGCTGGCTCAGAGCTAGACCCAGTCACCTGTCATGCTGGGCCCGAGGGCGGCCGCCTCCCTCTCCTGCTGCTGGGCCTCGCTTCATCTTTGGCCGCCTTCTCCCTGGCTGCTTCTCTTTCCTTTGGGTGCAGACCCGGAACTCTCCTGTCTTGCTTTAGTGTCTCTGAAGACTCGCTCACCTGCCAGCCACACGCTGCCCTCCTGTCCTGTCCCCCAGCGCCGTCCCCTCTGAGGTCCCAGCAGGACCCAAGGGCAGTCGGGTAGTGCCGAGCACGCCTTTGGCTCACTCCTCCCCTGGCTCATTCTCCTCGTCGAGCTGTCCCGCTGTCCCGGCCCCACTTCCCCCTGGGGCTGTGTCCTCAGGGGAGAGAGAGTCCAGAGTGAGAGGTCCCTTGGAGCCAACCCCGCCCCGCCTCCGGTCCTCTGAGACCCCCCCAGTGCCGACAGCCGCAACAGCTGACAGGTGGGAGCCACTGTGCCCACCTACAGTGGGAAGGCTGAGGCTCAGGAAGGGGTCACAGCCCAGCTGTGATCAGAACCTCGTCTAGAGCCGGCAGGGCTTTATGATGGACCCCGCTGGCCGGGTCGGTGCCCAGGTCCTGAGCTGTGTCACCTGTCAGGTGGGCGTGGGGGTCCTGTCCCCTCACGGGGCAGAGGAGGGACGAGATACGCGGCAGACAGGGAGCACGGGGCCCCGTGCGGAGTGCGTGTGAGAGCGTGTGTGCCAGCGCAGGGCTGCGTGTGCGTGTGCAGCTGGGGAGGCACTGGTCGCACTCCATCCCAAAGGCTGCCCAGCCCCAGGGTCCCCCCCCAGGCCCGGCTCTCGGCTCTCGAGGTGGCGCTGTCCTGCTCCAGGCGGCCGGGGGCATGGGCGTCACCCTGCAGGAAGGCAGGGATGGAGCCCTGTGGCTGCTCAGCTCCAGCGGAGCAGGCCGGGGCCCAGGGCGCAGGGAGCCCCAGACTCCACCACAGACACTGCTGTACTTCTGGGACGGAGGAGGGCACTGGCGAGGGCCGCGGGGCACCTCCTTCCACACCAGAGACCAGGCCTCTGCCGCAGTGGCTCGAAGCCGCGATGCCGTGCATGACTCCCGTGGGCGCTGCCCGGCCCCAAGCAGGGGCCGTGATTACCACCAGCCGTGGATGGACTCAGCAGCCCACGTGTCCTCGCTGGGGAGACCGGCAGTCTGAGCACAGGGAGCTGGGCAGGCAGGGGCATCGGCAGCAGGGAGGCGGCACAGCTCGGCGCCTGTCGTCCCCAGCCTGGCGAAGCCCAGAGCACGGTGCAGCCCGGTCAGCCTGGACCTTTCCTCCACACCTTCGTTCCCCGACCGTGACTGTGTCAGCAGCCTGCTGGAGCCCGCGTTCCCTTCGGTCCCCTGTGGGGCAGGGTGCTCCTTTTGAGAGCCCACTGGCCATGCTGGTCCCTGGACAAGGCCCTCAGTGGCTCCATGGCTCTGGCCACAGCTGGCTGCACACACAGAGCTGCCTGAGACCCGGCCGCTGCCCTTCTGGTTGTGTCTTCTCTGATCCAGCCCTGGCCCTGCGCCCTGCACTCGGAACCCTGGACATGCGTCATTCACGCCGTTAGGGACAAACCCTCTCACTGTCCTCGCAGATTCTGTCTGCTCATTTGACGCCCGTCCTGTGTTGCTTGAGATTTCGTCACTCCCCTGCTGAGGCAAGCTTAGCGTCCGGTCCAAGAAAACACTTCCAGAGAAGCTGGCAAGATAGGTCGGCACAGAGGACTCCGTGACCAGGTGCCTGTCACCTCCCTGGTCACACTGCATGTGGCTGCTGGATCGGAAATGGCGCATGGGTGGGTCTGTGGGATCCTGAAGCGCAGCGGGCAAATGCTCAGTAAGGACTGAGGCAGAGAATTGAGCTACATCTACTTTGTGATTTTGTGCCCAGAATCGAGTGATCAATGGACCACAAAGCCCTCACCTGGTGGGCAGCCTAAGTCCATTTCCAGGATGGGGCCTCAGCTCTGTGTATTCTGGCTCCGCAAAGACAGTAACTGGAACAGTGTGTATCAAACGGTGAATGCTGCCCTGCCAGGTGTTGTTTTAGGAACCTTGTGTTCCTTGTTACTAATGAATCCTCATCATAGTCTTGCCTGTTACGGTCTCCACATTCAGAGAGGAGATTTGGGAAGCGAGGGAATTTCCCGAGTGGGGACACTGGCTGGGTCCAGGATCCAAGTTCCTAAGCTCTTCTGGGCTCGGGTTCCTCAGCATGTTCAGCAGAAGGTCGAGGAGGCAATGAAGAGATCCTGCGCGGGACACAGCGAGGATGAGACGTCACCAGGCAAGAGGGCCTTGGAGCTGAGTCCCTGCGCTCTGAGTCTGTCCTGTGGGGTCAGCAGGTGACAGCCGGGGCCCAGGTGGAAGGTTACACCCCGCGTCCCATGGTCAGGCTGCCCTGGAGGTCCTGGGGTCCCCACCTCGGGGGACGCCCGTCTCACCACCCTTCTCCTTGGCGAGGACTCCTGCAGGTGGAGTTGCTGTCTGCAGAGCACCGAGTGTTTCAGCGTGGGAACCTCGCAGCTCTGCGTGGCCTCTGCCCGTTCTCTGCTCCTCATGGGAGGAAGCTTAAATGCTGAAGGCGGAGCTCACAGAGCCTCCTGCTTCAGCAGGGTTTACCAGCAGCTACTTGAGCAATGCTGAGAAAGCTGTTCGTCTCCCTTCAAGACCATCCAGAGCTACAGTTGCTGATTAGAACCCGACTGGCGAATCCCCAACCACGGTGGCTCGCCAGTTAATGACTCGAACCCAGCAAAACCGTGCAAAACAGACCTGTTTGGTGCCATGCAGGCAGGCTCCCTGGCAGTGCCGAGACACGGAGGCCGATCCCTCTGCCACCTCCTCGCTGTCACTGGGTGATGCGCACTGACTTAGCAGGGTGCCCAACTCACAGCCAGAATGCTTAGACTCAACTCCAGCTTCTCGGCCTCCTTAGCCTGGGTTCTTGTCCATTCTCTGTTTTTCCTTTTAAACAAATGTTTTATTAGTGTGGGTTTGTGATGCATAGGATTCCATTCGCCTGGGGGAGCATCGCCTCTGGATCACTTCCTCTCCCTGCCCTCTTAGGGTTACCCTGTTTCCCCGCCATCCCTCCTGGCTTCTGCTCTGTAAATTATTCATACTTGGGGTTTCTCATATAGGAGAGGCCATGCAGTATTTAACCGCCTGTGTCTGTTTTCACCCTGTGTTTTCCTTGTGTTCTCCCAGCCCAGGACCAGCCTGCCCAGGGGGATGAGGAGAAGGACTCCCCAAAGAGCCACCCATACTCAGTGGAGACGCCGTACGGCTTCCACTTGGACCTCGACTTCCTCAAGTACGTGGACGACATTGAGAAGGGCAACACTATCAGGAGGGTCCCGATCCGCAGGAGGACCAAGCAGGCCAAGTTCAGCACTTTGCCCAGGAACTTCAGCCTCCCTGACAGCAGCGTGTGCCCTCAGACTGCCCTTCTCCAGCAACGCTGGTCCCCCACGGTGCCCAGGAAGGTGTTCCTGGGTCCACAGGTGCAAACCCAGGCCCCAGCACCTTGGGGCAGCACCCCCCAGGCCTGGGCCGGGGGCAGCGAGCTGAGCAACCCCAGGAAGGCCCTGCTGGTGGAGGCCGATGGGCAGTGGAAGGACGCAGCGCTTGGCCTTGGCAGTGCCCGGCCCCAGCTCCTGCGGGCGTCCAGCATGCCAGGCACACTGCTGCCCAGCAGGGCCTTGGAGGGACTCCCTGCACCCCCGGCACCTCCTCCACTCCAGGACACAGGTGGCTCCTGGGACGGTAGCTTCAAGCCTGCAGAGGAGCCTGCAGATCTCCCCAGCCCTGGCCTAGGAGCATCAGCCGTGGAGACAGCTGAGGAGCTGGGGGACCTGGTGCTGGGGGTTCCTGAGGAGGCCGAGCGCCCAGCTGGGGAGGTGCAGGCTCCAGATCGCCTGTCTCCCCCAGGCCCCCCTCCCTCCTTCCAGAGCGCTCCTTTCATCCCGGAGGACGTGGGGGTTGAGGTCCAGACCTGGGGCCCACAGGTGGGGTCCACGCTGGGCTCCTCCACCCCGAGCCCCCCACCCCTGCCGTCGCCAGTCCCCGAGAGCGAGCTCACACTTGCCGGGATGGAGCTGAGCATCAGTGAGCTCCCCCTTCCACCGCCCCCGGAGGTGGCCGTGCGGAGTGTTGGCGTGCGGGTCACCGAGGAGGCCCTGGGGCCAGACGGCAGCCTGGGTCAGCAGCTCTCAGCCCTGCAGCGCGAGCTGGCCAGCCGCACCGAGGAGCTGGCTGCGGTCAGGGCTGCCCTGGAGGCCAGGGAGCAGAGGGTCCGAGAGCTACAGGGCACGGTGGCCCAGCTGGAGGAAAAGCTCACCCAGGATGCCCAGGCCCGCGCGCACGCCTCAGTGCACACTGGGCCTTTGTGTATGGACACCTGCGACAAGGGTGTGAGGGCCGCCCTTCTGAGCCCCGCAGACTCTGGACACCGAGGAGCCCTGGGGGAGGAGGGCAGCCTCCTCCGGGTGACAGACAGTGCCCCACCAGGGGAGCAGTGCCCAGCCCAGCTGGCCCTGCCTCGGGGACCGGGAACCAGCCCTGCCTCCCCCATGTACAGCTGCCCCGCCATGGAGCTCAGGATCGAGGAGCCGGCTGGCTCGGGGCAGGAGGGGGACGCGGGCCTGGCTGCAGAGGGCACCTCGGGCAGCGATGGGGAGGTCGCCCTGGCAGCTGGGGAGGAGGCCGGCCCCGAGCAGCCAGGTGGGCTTCCCGGGTCTCCGGCAGATGCCGCCCTGGGGCAGTACGTGAGGAAGATCCAGGAGCTGCTGCAGGAGCAGTGGAGCTGCCTGGAGCACGGCTACCCTGAGCTGGCCAGCGCCCTGCGGCAGCCAGCATCCAGGCTCAGCAGCATCCGCGGCCAGCTGCTCAGCTCACTCAGCCTGCTGCTGTCGGCCTATGCGGCCCAGGGCCCCCAGCAGGAGCCAGCAGGGCACCCGGGCCCCTCCCCGCCGGCCCCCGGTGAGTCCCCTGCTCCCTGTGCGCATGCACTTGCATGAGGGCCTCGGAAGCTGGGGGAACCCAGCCTGGTGACACCGGGCCAGCTGCCTCCCCTCCATCCTGGCTTTAGGGTTGGTGCCCCGTCCAACTGCAGGGCACAGCTGCACAGGTAGCACACGCCGTGAGGGTGAGGCCGGCCGCACACACCACCAAATGCTGCGTCCTGGGGCGAGGAGGAGGAGCAGGAGGAGGAGGAGGAGCAGGAGGAGGGGGAGGAGGAAGGAGGAGGGGGAGGAGGAAGGAGGAGCAGGAGGAGGAGGAAGGAGGAGGGGGGGGGAGCAGGAGGAGGCCCAGCCCCTGCCCACCTGCCCTCTCCCCTCCCTTCCTCCTTCCCTGGCCCTGCCTTCCTGCTTTCCATTCTGGCTTTCCCTCATCAAAGGGTTTCTGTGGCCTGGTTTAGAGGAACATTATCTTGAGATCTGGAGTCGTCTGGGGGGGGGGGGGGGGGGGGGGGG